CTTGACCACCACACCACCTGTTGGCCCACTACCTAACTTCTCAGGAACTGTTTGCTGACTCTTCAGCTGGACACTCACATCCCCACTTGAACTGGGGCACACCGAGCTTATGTATCGTACTCACACTTACACACGGCTGGTCACTGGTAACATCAAGACTTGAACCTAGGCAGCCTGGCTGCAGTCTGTCCTAATGGTATGTTGCCTTCTATACGTCTCTGCCCAACTGGGACTGACCCCTCATCCCCAAATAAGTGACTTACGTGCCTGTGGAATCCACTGCCACAGCACGGACCCCACCGCGGTGACAGAGAATCTTCGCCAGTGGCTCCTTCACAGTTGGACTCCATAAAGACACGGTGCCTAGAAAAGGAGACAGTTACTGACACAAACCTAACCCTGAGATGACAAAATCTGGGAAAGACGGGGGTGTAAGACTAAGAGGTAACGAGAGAAGAAAGTAAACGAGAACTTTATAGAATTCAGGAAGTGTAAATACAGAAGAAAATCAGGTCAGGATGATCAGAGAGTCAAGGCGAAGCGGAGACTGACCGTTGCTGTGTCCGAGGTGGATGACAGCATTGTAAGGATTCTGAGCCATGACGTCCAGCCGACCGGCCCGAGCATTTAGAGCTGCCACGATCTTCCCCACTGACACGTCCAGGTAGGTCAGAAACCCTGTCTCGGACTGAGAGAGAGACAGAGAGAGACTGAATCCTACTTCCCGCTGTCTTCCCTCCACTGGAGTCCTGGAGGAGCACTAGTCTCCCCAAGGGGTGCCACTCAGCCTTTGTGCGCCACAGGCACTCACAGCGGTAGCCAGGAGGAAGTGGAAAGGCAGGAACTCAAGCCGAGTCACTCGGTCACAGCGGCGGACACAGTGGAGCTCAATGCCCTGGTTGTCGTAGATGTGCAGCCAGCGGTTCTGAGCAACCGCGAGCAGCGCCTCGGAATGTAGAAATCTGGAGGTGGGAGAGGAAGCGCGGGTCACTGGGAAGCAGCGTTGCGGCTGTCACTGATCGGAGGTGGGTCACCGCCAACAGAGAGGCCACCCACCGGATGTCCCGCACTGCCTCCATGACGTTGATCTCACACATGAGCTTCTTTGTGATCCAGTCAAGGGCAGCCACGTGACCCCGACGCCCTCCAAAAGCCAGGTGTCTGTTGTAGGTGGAGGACAAGCAGGGTATTAATGCAGGGAAGCACCGACTCAGACACTCTGGGGTC